TCTTACAACATGTAGATCTGTTAGGATGAGACACTGCATGGGGACCATGGCAGGTTCCATGATGGGTGAGGGTGACTGAGTCAGGGGACAAAAGTGCCAGGCACACAGAGATTAAGTGAGAAGTGAAGTTTTATTAGAAACTGGAGGGAGGGGGAAGGGAGAGAGAAAAGAGGTAAAGAGATACAGAGATAGAGAGAGGACAGAAGATAAGAAGGAGATAGGAAACGCCCTGTCTGCCCCAGGGGAACAGTGAGAAGAGAGAGCAGGAATCGAGCTGGAAAAGCAGAAAGAGAAGAGAGCAGAGGGACAGGAGCTAGAAAGAGAGCTTAAGTGGGCAGAGGTCTTTCTTTTAAAGGGATTGCCCCACCTGTGTGCAGACTGGTACTCATGGAACCCTGGGCTGACCAGAGGACTGCCTGAGTGCATTGTGCCAGGTGACAGGAGCAGGGAGCATAATGCACCAATCCTTTACTTATTTAAACAGTGAGGAGTTGTGCATGGCAGTCAGGGGATAAGGACTTTGCGTTATCATGAGGCATTCCTGCTGACCTGGGTCCGGGGCCCTGACCATCCCAGGGCGACCCGAGAAAGCTAAGTGCTGCCAAGTCCTGGGGTTGCTGGTTGTTTAATCGCAGTCCAGGGTGTCTGGAACTCTCTGGTTCCATTTCCACCTGGAAAGATATTGGAAGAACAGAGGACAAGGTTAAGAAAAAACATTTCTTAGGTCCTGGTACTTAAAAGGAGGAGTTAATAAGACTAGGGAGGATCTCATGAGCGATTCACAAGACAGGCCTCTGGAAAGCTTCGGGTCCTCCTGTATTCAATAGTACTTCACACAGTCCTCTCTGTCTTCCTGGACAGGAAGGAGCCACTCATCCTACAGGGTATCTGACCCCGAGTGAAAGATGTCAAGATGGCACTGTTTGCCACTGTCAATACCCTTGAAATCTGACAATGGCATTGTAGGATGCCATAGCCTAACACTGATGTGTGTTTTATATATAAGATAGGTCTTATTCCTCATTGTTTCTTGTAACTGTATAAACAATGAAGATAATTCTGGACTATCAGGAACAAATTCAACAGTCTCTGTGTGTAAGATGACTCTCTCTGCATATTGGAGGTGCTGACTACATTAAGGGTATTTGAAACACACCATACTCTCCAATAACTACACTGAACCCCATGCAGTGGACAGGATACACATCTGACTCTCTATGATCTCTCCTTGATTTATTCATCTATGGATGTTTTATTTTCCTTCATATCTATGTTCTCTCTCTCCCTCTCTCTCTCTGTCTGTCTGTCTGTCTCTGTCTCATAAAGTATGAAACAAGGGCTCACTGTGTAGCCTTGCCTAGGCTCATATTTAGAGCAATCTTCCTATTTCATCTTCAGGAATATTAGATTCCGCAGCCCTTACACATAAGGGGGTTGGTGTTTTAGGTAGTTTTCTCCATGAGAAGACTTAGGGTGCGCAGAGCTGTAATCCTGTGTCATCCTTGGCCTTTGTCACAGCAATAACCCATGCTGACTGTTCTTCTTGGGCAGTATGTCTGACACTAGTGTGAGGGAAGTTTCTGTGTGTGACAGGACCTGCAGCTAGCACTCAGTGGGTTACAGTAACCATACTTACACATAGTAGGGCAGTCACCCATGCTCTCTGGCCAGTATGTTTACTGTTGTAAAGGCTGTCCTTAATAAAGGTGGGCAGGGGACAAGATAGGCAGCCCTGCCCTGGCAGAGCTACAGATATGTGAAAGGGCATGGGGCTTCAGGAAAGTCTAGAAGTTAGTAGAAGGCCTTGGGCATCAACAGAGAAATTCCATACGGGAACACACGCCAGGTGCTTTGGTGCAGAAAAGGGTGGCTGTCCTCTGGCAATGTTCTTCAATTTGCAGGCCAGAGGCTCAAGCACACAGGTCAGGTTGCCAAGCAAGAGGCCAGCCTTAGGTCCTTACTCTGTCCATGAGGACAGGAAATTCTGGAGGGCTGGAGGAAGGCACCCTGTGGGACAGACATGCATGTGACCTGAGTCTTGACATGCTGGACCCTTATCACCTGGAACTCTTCAGGGTCCTGTGCCCGCTGAGGCTCTTCTGAGGCATGGAGGGACTGAGAAGTTTATCACATGACACATCAGCACCTGGCATTTACTTGGCACTGGGTGGTGGCCATCCCTAGCCTGGCAATAATGAGGTGGATAACAAGGGTGAGTGTTCCTGAACCTGGGACTGTAAGTGTTCTTCTAATTGTATCCTTCTTGATGTCTCTGGAGGCCAGATGAGGACCCGGGGCTGTGGTTACGAGAGAGCATCACAGACATACTCGAGTTCTAGGGCTCAGGTCAGCACAAAAAGTGTCCAAAGGGTAAAGCATGAGAAGACACAGAACTCCAGCGTTGGTAGATATCAGAGGTAAGTTACAGAGGGGTATGAGAGGTCAGGGGACATGGACAGAAGCCCATGGACATGGTGACATGGGAAGACAGTGGACATCAGAGGTCACTGGACTTGGAGACAAGACCCATCAGAGGACAGGGTGACATCAGAGGTCAGTGAACATAGGGACCTCAGTGTTCAGAGGACATGTGCGTTTGTAGCCCTGCTCCAAACCCTTCCCTCAAGATGCCAAGATTGGGCCCTGTCCTGAGTCACCTCAGTCCACACTCTGCCCCTAAAAATCCTGTTCTTGGAGGCTCCACCTCTCAGAGGACATTAGAAGTCCCCACCTCAGGGTTCACTCATGGTTCTTGGATTTCTCTTCCTCAGGGCTGACCCAGGAATGCTTTGCAGATGGGATCAATTGCCTACAGTGAGACATTGTGTAGTCAGAGAGAGAGAGAGAGAGAGAGAGAGAGAGAGAGAGAGAAAGAGAGAGAGAGGGGAGGGACGGGAAGGCAGGCAGGCAGAAAGACAGTCAGACAGACAGACAGAGTGTGGTTTATGTTTGTTCTTGGATCCCTCAGCTGTGAGTAGTCTTCTCCATCCCATCCAGGGAACCCCTTGTGAGAAGAGGCAGCAATGTGGGCAAGAGCCTGAGGGGATGGAGGACACCAAGAGAAAAAGACCCTTCAAATCTGAACTCACACAGATGAAACAGGAGACACAGGTGTAATCCACTCTCCTTTTTGTCACCATCTCCCACAAATTGACACAGAGACTCATAATTAATCATGAAACCTGGGCCTTGGCTAAGCTTTTTCCCAACTCGCTCTTATACCTTAAATTAACCTGAAATTATTATTATATCACATGCCTCAGTTACCTCTCCTCTGAAATATATGTCTGACTTTCTCAGTGTGTTACTGGTTGGTGTCTCCTTAGTTCCTTACTCTGCCCAGAATTCCTTTATTTTTGACTATTCAGACCTTTATTAAACCAATCACAGTGATACCTCTTCACACAGTATAAACATATATACATTCACACACACACACACACACACACACACACACACACTGTGATGGAATTGAGGAGGTCAGGAAAATTTTGAGGGAGTTGGTTCTCATTCTGCTGTGAAGTTCCTCGGCATTGAACTCAAATTGTTAGGCTTGACAGCAAGTGCCTCTACACCTGAGCCATCTCACCCTCTCCCTTTATCTGTGTTTGGAAGGAGCTGTTGTGAGTATGCACTGAAGAAGGTCGATATGTGATGTTTACTATGAACTCAGGCAATAACATATTTGAGTTTCAGTACGGTGTGTTTGTCTTCCATAATAATTCACAGGGAGTTTTATTGAAAGACCCCCACTATGCTTATTGCCTGTTTAAACTGCTCTTGCTAATTTGCCAGGGTCAAGTTATGAGAAAAGTACAGGAGGGAACCAGGTGCTGCTCTCATCCAACGCCAACCAGGTATCTGTGGTCTGCAGCTTGGACCAAAGCAAGGTCAGCAGGACGGTATCCGGGATGCTGAGAGAGTCATAACTGACTTCTTTGTATTCTTTGTGCCCAACCCGAATAACCAACTGTCCTTTGGTTAACTACAACTGCTACATTTAGATGAAACAATGAAATCCCTGTAGCCATGCTTCTGCTTCTGTAAGGCTGCTTCTTCTGGCCACACCAACCCTATATAAACTGCCTGAGTTTTAACCTCAGCACGCTCAGTCCCCCGAAAGACTGAAGCGTCCACAGGTACCTGCGTGTAAACAATAAACAACCTCTTGCACTTGCATCCAGTGTTCTGGTCTCGTCTCTTGGGGGCAAGGGCCTTCCCCCTGACAGGCTCCAAACTCGTGGTCTCGATAGTTCCCCATACTGTAAATGTACGTTGAATGTTACCCGAATTTGTTTCGTTTTTAGAGCTGAGCACTAAGTATGAGTATGAGATCATTAGTCAGATATTCCTCCCAACAAAGTACTAATTCACCTTCTCTCAGGAGATGTTAAAGTCTTGTAGTAATTCTTTGTCTTAGAGTGGGACTCTGTGATATTTCTCCAGTTCAGATTTGAAGGGTGAACTGATGCTATCAGTTTTCAGATCTTTGTTATGCAAGTATGGTACTGAAATTTCATAGATACAGCTTCGATGGATTTTTCCTTCATAATTTGGCTTCCGTTGTGCGCCGGGCCTCGTGTGCGTAGCAATATTCCCTCCCAGCGTGATCGAGGGTTTATATTTTTGTCAGCTTTGCTAGTTTTAAAGGTGCAAGTGTTATTTAGGATGGCATTGGAGGATGGAGGATGATTTTTGTTTCAGTCAAGAGGGACAAACACCGTGGCTAGCTCAGCACGAAGGACCTCTTGCAGGGGGTGGAGAAGCAAAGTGCCACAGCACGGGCGAGTGCCTAGGGGCTTAAATTTAAAGGCATGTTCTGGTTAGCTGTCATGTTGTGCTACCTGCCTGTATGCGAGCATTTTTGCCAGCAGGTGATTTTCCTGTGATTTCATGCCATGCATGCTTCCTGTCCAGGAGGAGGCATCAGCATCCCCGCATGGAAGGTAGATTGTATCAGTGAGCTCACATTCCCCACAGGCTAGAGCGTAGACCCTCACGTGCGGATTCCTTCCTGAGTGCTGCGCTGCGCTGCGCGCGTCCTGCGTCATAGATGATTCATGAGTGGGCGGGGCGTGGTCTCGCGCTCCTGCTTCCGCCTCTGCTTCCGGCTGGGCAGGGGCCATCTTGTTCCCTCGCTGAGGAGGAGGTCTGTCCTCCTGTGGAGGCAGTTTCCAGGATCGCAGCAGGCCGGGGACCTGAAGGTGGGGCCTGTACTCGTCTGGGGCCGGGTCTTCGGGGGAAGAGGAAGTAGGGAAGAGCGTGGCAGGCAAGGGGGGTTCTGCTGGGTGGGCGGCGCAAACCGCCTGTGGCGGAGGCTTCAGCGGCTGTCGGAGGAACCCCGGGCCGCTTGTTGGAGCGGGCGGCCTGGAGGGAGGGACGTTCCAGTGAGAGGATTTATAGCAGGTTGAGGAGCCCACTTTTACCTCACTACCTTAGATTCAGGGGCACAGGAAGGTAGTTGGTGGTTTCTGTGAGTTTGTGCACGGAGTACAACTCAGGGCCTGGATGGAGTAGGACTCAGGGCCGCGCTGAGCAGGCCGATTACCTGTGTGCGCGTGCCGGTGTGCGTACCTGTGCGTGTGTGTACGTGTGCGCGTGTGTACCTGTGTGCGGGCCAGTGTGTGCCTGGGTGTGCGTGTGAGTACCTTTGAGCGTGCCTGTGCTCGTGTGCGTGCCTGTGTTTTTGTGAGTGTGTGTACTTGTGTGTGTGTGCGCGTGCCTGTGTGTGCCTGGGTGTGTGTGTGCGCGCTGGTGTGCCGTGCCTGTGCGCGCATGTGTGTGTTCCTGTGTGTCTGCCTATGCGTGCCTGCCTGTGTTTGCATCTGTGTGTGGGTGTGGATATCTGTGTGTGCCTGTGCATGTGTGTGCATGTTCCCCCTTTCGTGTGTGTGTGTGTGTGGAGAGACAGAGACAGAGAGAGAGAGATCTGTGTGTGTACATTTCATGAATCTTGTTGCCTTTCTCAACTCTGACATCACCTGACCTTAAAAGAGCACTTAAGAGTCAAGCCATTTCCCTTAAACAGAAGACTGCATCTCCTTTTCTAAGATAGCTCCCAGGTTTCATTGTGCCATCCGGCACTTTTCAGTTTGCCGTTCCAGCTCTCCCCATGAAACTCAAAGGATCACATATGTGAAAGGAACTCTTGAAATACGCAGTCCAGCCACACTTTTCATGTTCCAGCCCAGATTCAGTCAGAGCCTGCACAATTCCTATCTTGCCTCAAGAACTTTCCTTGGGTGGCTTCAAAAGCAGACTTCAAAATACATAGAACTTGTTTTTAGTTACACTAAAAACTTTAGGATCCAGTTAGTGTCAACTACTGGATCTTTCCTGTGCCTCTCAAGAGTTTGGTTTCCCCATTGAGCCCTTAAGCTGCCTTACTTTGTCAGGATCCATCCTGTCTTTCTCCTCTGTCAGAAAAGGAGAGTAGTAGCAACTTAATTTCTCCCCTGTGTTGCCAGCATAAACTTCCTGCGCACGTGTGCCTCATTGCTGATAACCCCTTTACCTTCAGATAGCCAGCTCGATGTTGTCCAAGAAACGCAGAGTGTCTGGACCGGACACGGAGGTGGATTCTTACTCGTCTCCTACACCCCCTGGGTCAACCAAAGTGAGTATCTGACTTTACAGGCTTTCAGGATGGAAACAATAGGTGGAGGGTGGTAAAGTACCTCATATTTTTTTCACATGGCCAGCCCCCATTACCCTTATCTCTCCTGGAACTCCGTGTTGATTTTTAGGGAACGTCAGAAGACAAGGACATGGACATCGATGAAAGCCTCTACTCTCGTCAGCTGTGAGTAGTATCCTAGGGCAGGAGATGCAGAGTGGAAGGAGACAGGGTGGGTCAGGCCCTAACGTGGAGTTCTTTGCCGACAGGTATGTACTAGGTCATGAGGCAATGAAGCACCTCCAGAATTCCAGTGTACTGATATCAGGCCTGCGAGGTCTGGGTGTGGAAATTGCCAAGAATATCATCCTTGGTGGGGTCAAGGCTGTCACTCTCCATGACCAGGGCACTGCCCAGTGGGCTGATCTTTCTTCCCAGGTATCTCGTTTTGGCTTCTCCTTGTCTAGGACCCAGCTTGTGCACTGCCTGTGTTTTCAGCACTGTCATCCTCCATCCTTTCTGTAGTTCTACCTGCGTGAGGAAGATATTGGCAAAAACCGAGCTGAGATATCCCAAGCTCGCCTTGCGGAACTCAACAGTTACGTGCCTGTGCATACCTACACTGGAGCCCTAGTCGAGGACTTCCTGAGTGGTTTTCAGGTATCCCCAATCTTCCTGCCTTTTTCTTTCAGCTTTGTTGTCATTTGGGCGGCCTCGGTGTGTCAGACTTTGTGCTGGGAAACTAGGAGGTGAAGGCAGTAGTTAGAGCTCCCCAGAGGGGCAGATTCGCTTGTACAAGGGCTCTGAAACAAAGCACCTGCACGTGTAATTCTCAAGCCTTGCACAAGCAGGTGTAATGAGAGGAAACTCAGGCTGACTGGGTTGTCAACTGTCGCTGTGTATACCCTGGCTGTAGGTAAATTAACTTAGCCAGCTCAGACCTCGTACGTGCAGCACTACTATTATATTTGTTGTGTTTGGGAGTGTTTTTTAAAAAGCTTTTCTCTGTCCCTTGAGTGTGTCACCCTTGAGACTTGTGTGTTCACATGGAGAAGGCTGAGCCCGACAAGCGTGGGTGTTGTTTTCTTCCCCCTTCTCCTTCAACCTTGTCAGCTTTTATGTTTCATTCTCTCCCTCCACCCCAAGCCTGAGCCTGTTGGTCTTTACAGGTGGTGGTTCTTACCAATACTGCTTTAGAATATCAGCTGCAGGTGGGTGAGTTCTGTCATAGCCGTGGAATCAAGCTGGTGGTGGCAGACACTCGGGGCCTAGTTGGGTGAGTTCTTGCCTCTTCCTTGTCTGACTTCCACTGGATGTGGGCGGGCGGGGTGTCTTCCCAAGCCTTCAGGTCCTCCTCCACCAAACACATCTGCATTAAGCTTTTGCTTTGTTTTGCTTTGCTTTGCTTTTCCTGTGCGGTATGAGCATCATCTGATCTGCTCCAGTACCTTGAGAGCTGGAAGGCCCTGTGCTTAGTCCAAAGCTCCTCTCCTGTTGCCTCCCTCCCTAGACAACTGTTCTGTGATTTTGGAGAGGAAATGATTCTCACTGATTCAAATGGGGAACAGCCACTCAGTGCCATGGTTTCCATGATCACCAAGGTAAAAGGACGCCAGCCCCATAGGTTCTAATGCGGAACTGGGTGGTAATTGTCCTTTCTTTTCTCTCTGCTTTTCCTATTTTCTGCACGCCTTCCGTTTTCTCTCCCCTCTCCTCCCTTTCTTTCTTTTCTTGACGTTTCCTTTTCCTGTCCCTCTCATTTCATCATTCTTTCCGCACCCCAGCCCCTCCCACCCAGCCCTCCCCCCCTTCAACCCCCCACCCCCACCCCCTCCTGACTGTTGAACTAGGGGCCTGTCACTAAAACAGTTGAGTAGCCTGCCACCCAGGTAATACTGTTAGCCACTAGTTGACCTTACTTGCTGTCAGCATGCCCTAGCCTGCAAATCCTGCTTGCTGTTTGCTTTGTTTTTGTTGTTTTGTTTGTGTTTTTGTTTGAGACATTCTCAGTAATGTAGCTGAGGCTAGCCTTGACTAGAGGGTGACCTTGCTGCCTTTGCGTCCTTAGAGTTGTGACTAGGAGCATGCTGCTTAACTCTTACTTTTCTTTCCGAATCAGGAGAGTCCGGGGGTCGTCACCTGCTTGGAGGAATCCCATCACGGATTTGAGAGTGGTGACTTTGTCTGTTTCACAGAAGTTCAGGGCATGAGTGAACTCAATGGCATCGGTCCCATAGAGATCAAAGTTCTGGGTATGGCAAGCCCAGGGAAGGAGGTTGAGAAGTGGTAGTACAGAACAAAGGGAAAAGTGGCTCTCTGTGATATGGGCTGTCTCCGAAGCCAGGAGATCCACTGTAGAGCTTGCCAGGTACACTGGGCTTATCTCAGACTCAGCATTGACTTACCTCTGCCTGCCCCCAGAGTGCTGCGATTGAAGCCATGTGCCACCTGGTGAAACACTGCCTTTAACTTGTGCCACCCCGCCACAGCCCTCCCCCATTGTTGCACTGCTGTTTGTCAGACAGCCCAATCATTCTTGGGTTTACTCCCTTTTGATTTTCTGGGATGTAGCTTAGGCAAATCCTTCCTAGTACATAAGGCCGGTAAACTAGGTTCTGATACACTAGGGCCTGGAAGGATGGCTCAGTTGTCAAAGAGTGCTTGTTCTATACTCCTCATGACAGGATTTGGATTTAGACACAGCCTTGTAAAATGCTGTTTCATGGTAGGACACGGCAGTACCTATGGTACTGTAGGGAAACCCTAGCACCGGGGAGGTGGGAGGGGCAGATGATCCTGATGGGGTCACCTCAGCCATCCTACCTGCTTCTCTGAGAAAGTAACTGGAGGTCATAAGGTGGTGATGGAGTTGAGGAGAATCACCTACAGTTCTTTAAAACGGCTAGGGTATGCAGTTGGCCAATAGAGTGGATCCCCACAAAGGCGTGAAACTAACACAGCTCCTGTGAAGATAATGTCCCTTAAATTAAGAAAAGTAGGAGAGGCCTGTGACCTCAAATTGTGTCTATGTGTGACTTTCTGTGTCTATGTCTCTGTGTGTCTCTCTGGGGCTGTGTGGTTGTGTATGTGGTGTCTCTGGTATGTGTTTGTATACGTGTGTCAGTGTGCGTGTGCTTACCTATGTGTGTGTGTGTGTGTGTGTGTGGTGTCGAAGTGTGTGTTTCTGTCTGTAAGCTACGGTAGTGTGTATGTGTGTGACTTTCGATGTCTATGTCTCTGTGTGTGTCTGTCTGGGGCTGTGTGGTTGTGTCTGTGTGGTGTGTGTCTGTATATGTGTGTCAGTGTATGTTTGTGTGCTTACCTATTTCTGTGTGTGTGTGTTGGGATGCCTTGGTACAGACACATGGAGCTTCCATTGTAGTTTATGTATCTAAACCAGAATCCTGTCTTCTGGGAAAGCAGGGAGCTCTTGGAATCATTGAGTCAAATTGTTGGTCAGAAGGGGAATACTGTTCCCTCCCATGTTTTTTTTTCCCCTCTGTGTTGCAACAGAAACAAGATGTGTCAGCACCCAGAGTCTGAGGCCAGAGAAGTGAGATTGAGATCACTCTGCTTGCTTTGGGGAGCTGCCTTTGAACTCTGAATCCTCCTGAGTTGACTTCTGGCATTCTGGGATGAGAGTTGTATACTCCAATGCCTTTGGTGGGCGTGGTTTTTGCTTGGCATTGTTGTTGCCCTGGTTTTCCCCCCAATCCTTCCCTATCCCTCCCCCACTCCTCTGAGTAAAGCTTGCTGTATAAAACATACAACTAAGGTGTTAGGCCTGTAGTGTCAGGTTTTTGTGCTTTGGATTAGTTGGTGCATTGATCTTTGGAGAGTGGCTGAGGCACTGCATGGGCTGGCAGTCTTCTCCATCTTTTTCATCTTTCAGGTCCCTGCACCTTTAGCATCTGTGACACATCTGGTTTCTCTGACTACATCCACGGAGGCATTGTCAGTCAAGTGAAAGTATCTCAGAAGATCAGCTTTGTGAGTAGGTGGGGAAGGGTTGTGGGTAGATGAACTCATGTTTTGGGGACTCCTAGGTGGTTCACATCTGGTCTTGATGATCCATTTTCCACAGAAACCACTACTCGCCTCCTTGACAGAACCAGATTTTGTGGTAGCAGATTTTGCTAAGTGTCGTCACCCTGCTCAGCTGCACATTGGTTTCCAGGCCCTGCATCATTTCTCTACTGAACATGGCAGGCTTCCTCGGCCCCATAATGAGGTAAATGTGTAGAAAGCCAGCCAGACACCGTGGTGTGTAGTGCCTAGTCTCCCTGCAGTAGGGTATGATAGATACTCTCTTGGTTCCTTGTATCCAACCAGGAGGATGCAGCAGAAATGGTGACCTTAGCACAAGCTGTGAACGCTCGAGCATCGCCAACAGTTCAGCAGGATTGCTTGGACATAGACCTCATCCGGAAGCTGGCACATGTGGCTGCTGGGGATCTGGCACCCGTGAATGCCTTCATTGGTGGTTTGGCTGCCCTGGAGGTCATGAAGGTCAGCAGGAGTGGGAAGGTGCTGTGCCTTGCTGAAACCATCTCTGCCCCTTAGTTGCAGTGGCTGCTGACAAGGCTCTTTTCCCAGGCTTGTTCTGGGAAGTTCATGCCCGTTAAGCAGTGGCTGTACTTTGATGCCCTTGAATGTCTCCCTGAGCACAAAGTGGCTTTCATGGAAGATAAGTGCCTGCCGGTAGGTCAGTGGGAACAGTGGGACTTTGGGAACGTCTTGAGGGGAGCCTCTGTCTAACCTGCCTTTGTTCTCGTAAATCTAGCGC